CAGTGGTGGCTATTTTTTTTTTTTTTTTTTTAAAAAACAAGGCTAGGCACAGGCTCGCTAATCCCAGCACTTTGGGAGGCCGAGGTGGGCATATCACAAGCGATCAGTGATGTTGAGAGCAGCCTGACGAACATAGGAACAGCCGTATCGTTCCACTAAAATATCCGAAACTTAGACCGGCGCTGATGTACAGGCCTTCAATCCCAGCTACTCACGGAGGCTGGGCAGGAGAATCCATCTGTGAACCTGTGACGGCGTCCTGCAGTGAGCCAATTCGTGCACTGCACTGCCAATCCCCTGGGCAACGAGCGTGAGACTCTTGTCTCAAAACAATATACCATATATGTATATTTATGACAATAGGGTTTACAGTCTTAACCCCCCCATCCTTGCTTTGTTAAAAATCTATCAAATCTGTTTTGGTTTTTTTTGTTTGTTTTTTTTGAAGACGAGGTCTTGCCTCCTGTTGCCCAGGCTTAGAGAGTGCAGTGGCACGATTCAGCTCACCACAACCTCCCACCTCCCAGTGTTCAAGCGATTCTCCTGCCTCCGCCTTCCTGTTAGCGTGGACTACAGGTGCACGCACCAATCAATGCCCTGGCTAATGTTGTGTATTGTAGAAGAGAAGGTTTTCACATGTGGCCAGGCTGGTCTCGAATTCCTGATCCGGTTCGTGATCCCGCTGGCCTCCCGGCCTCCCAAAGTGCTGGAATTACAGGCAATAGCCCACCGTGCCTAGCCGTTATGTTTTAGGTTCTTCCACGTAATTTATAGAAGGATTAAGTATAGATCCATTCGGTGTTACATACATGCCACTGTGCGGTGTTACAAAGACACAACGGCCTACTTTAACATTCTTAAGCTGCTGCCAGAGAATCACAACATAGAACAGAGCCTGACGAATAAAGAATGTGTGGAATCAAGGAGTTATATATGCCATAATCAAGTCAAAAATCTATTAGTATGGCCAACTGTGACAAATTTGAATTCCACTTCCTTCCCTATTTACACTGCAGAAGAACACCATAAAACAAAGCTAACTAACGTTGTAGTAACATATATTATGAAGAACAATTTTTTATTTTTTAGCCAGGATGGTCTCGATCTCCTGACCTCGTGATCCGCCCGTCTCGGCCTCCCAAAGTGCTGGGATTACAGGCTTGAGCCACCGCGCCCGCCGCCCAGGCCAGTCTTGAACGCCGGGACTCCTCAAGCAATCATCCCACCTAGGCCTCCCAAACTGCTAGGATTACAGGAGTGAGCTACCACGTCCAGCCCATCAATTTCCTTACCTGTTGACAGTCTTGAGTATCTGCACAGCTGGCTTTGGAAGGAACATGGAAAAAAAGGACTTCTAAATCTTAGCAGTATAATAAATAGTGTTTATTTTCATTTATTATTTACTTATTTAGAGTCCCACTCTGTCACCCTGGCTGGAGTGCAGTGGCTCAATCACAGATCACTGCAGCCTTGACCTGCGAAGCTCAAGTGAGCCTCCCACCTCAGCCTTTTGAGTAGCTGGGACTACAGGTGTGTGTTACCCAGCAAATTTTTGTATTTTTTTTTTTTTGTAAGAACGAGGTATCACCTCGTGTGCCCAGGCTGGTCCAAATTCCTGGCCTCAAACAGTTGGCCTGCCTTGACTCCCAAAGTGCTGAGATTACAGGCATGATCACTGCACCTGGCCTATTTTTAGATATATATTTTATAATTATTTAATGCTATGAATTAATAACCACCACCCCTTGCTGTGTCCAGGGAACACTTGTCCTCCAAGGCCAGCCAGATTGTGGGTCTGGCTTCTGAGAGCTTAA